AAAATTTAGAATTTTATAATTTTTAATTTTAGGATTTGGTACTTTTGAGAATTTAAGATTTTGGGTTTTTATTAAACTTTAAAAGTATGAGATTTTGAGTTCTGAAATGTTGGGTCGTAAGATTTTGGAATTAGCCCATAAGAATTTGAGACTGTGGGGGTTGAGATTATGGGAATCTAGGGAGTATTTTGGTATTTTGAAATTTTAAGAATTATGGAAAGTTGAGACTGAAATTTTTAGGATTAATTAGTAATTTGAGATTTTGGATTTTGTGGATTTTTGTACCTTTTGGAGTTTTGAGACCTTGGCAATTCGAGATGGTATTTTGTAAACTGAACATTTTGGGATTTTTGACATTTTTAAATTTGAATTTGGTAATTCTAGGTTATGGGAATTCCAGCCCATGGCCATTTTTTATTTTGAGAGAATTTTCTATGGAATTCTAGATTTTGGGAGTAAGAAATTTTAGAAATCTGGGATTACGGAAATTTGAAACCTGAAATTTTAGGAATTTGAGATAATAGGCATTTTAAATATAGCGGTAGTATGTATTAAGATTTTGGAACTCAAAAATTTTGGTCATTTGAGGCTATAAAAATGTTGATTTTGAAATTTTTGAAAATTCTAAAATTTGAGACATTTGAGATTTTGGGAGTTTTAAATTTTTGAAATTTAAGATTTTGGGATGTTTGGAGATTTGGGGATTCGAGGTTATGGACCCTTTATTTTTTGAGAGAATTTTTAGTGAAATTCGATTTTTTGGGAATTTATGAATTTGAGATCTCGAGGGTATAGATACTTTTCAAATTTTGAGAGATTTTTTTATAGAATTCAAGACTTTGGGATTGTGAAATTTTAGAAATTTGGTTCTTAAATTTTAAGGTTTTGAGATTATAGACATCAATTTTGAGAATTGAGTTGTAATTTTGTAATACGAGTAGTAATTTAAGACTATAGAAACGAGTATAGAAATGTGAGATTTTGAATTTTGTGAATTTGTGACGAGATTTTTGTAATTTTGGGGGTTTTTTGGGCTTATACATTTTACATTTTGGAGTTTTGATATGTTGGTAATTCGAGACAAGATTTCGGAAATTGAAAATTTTGGGATTTTTGGACATTTATGAATTTATTATTTTGGGAATTCTAGGCTATGGACGTTTTAAATTTTTGGAGAATTATGATGAAATTAAAGATTTTGTTATAATGACATTTTAGAAATGTGAAGTTACTTATTACGGAAGTTGATACTTGAAATTTTAGGATTTTGAACTTGAGTTTTTTTATTTTGAAATTTTGAGATTATTGAAATTTTAAATAAAAGTATTAAGATTCTGGAATTGGAGACTCTAGTCTAGGAATTTGAAATTTTATAAAAGTGTAATCTTGGGATTTTTGTAACTTTGGGAGTTTGTGAATTTGAGATACTGGTAATTTCAGATATTTTGAGAATTTAAAATTGCTTTTTACTCTCTGTATAATTTGAAAGACATTTATCATTTAAAAAATAGCTTAGGTTTAGGCAGAAACATAAATAACAATGGCAAATGGTGCATCTCTCTGTTGTTGGTGTATTTTTAAGAACGCCCTAATAATAACTAAAACACTCCATTCTCTTATGCGATAAAGTCAAATTCGAAATTTGCCTAAAATTAAAACCTTAAAATTTACACAAATTCTGAAAAAACGGTATCATCATCCAATTTCTGATTAATTCAAAATCTATCTATCAATTATCTTTTTTAATCGTTCTCTTGTGTATTTTGAAATAACCTTAACTGTAAACAATTAAACTTTTATTTACAATTAAATCATTTTTATTTTTACAAAAAAAAACAACACACAAGGTCGCTCATTATTGACGTCACCGGGATATCGTCAAGTACGACCTTGCACCGGAGACAGGTCACACCCTTTCACCAAAACCGCAACTCGAGCTTTTGCTTTTGTGTGAGCTATGGCAGGGTTTTTGTCCCGAAGAAGGTTTCCCTGACCTCGCCCGGATATGCTATATGTTCCGGTCTTTTCTTACGCACAAAATTCTCGTCAGTATACCCCAGTTCGTCGCAATTTCAAACACCTCGAAGTCCCAGTCGTGAAACTACCACTCTCTTAGAGAGCTTAAGATTTTGAAATTTTAAATTATAGGATTTTTGGAAATTTAGGATTCTTTGATTTTAAAATATTGCTAATTTGAAATGGGGAGTTTCAGATCTTGGTAATTTGGGTTTTTGAGATTTTTAAAACTTTGGGAGTATCATATTTCCAGAATAGATTTTCAATTTTGGAAGTTTTAAAAAGTCGTAAGTCTTAATATTCTGGAACTTTGAAATTTTGGCAATTTGAAACTAGAAATTTGAGGTTTTGAATTTTGTCAGTTTGTGACCTTGGGATTTTTGTAATTTTGGGAGTTTTTTAAGCTTAGCCATTCTACATTTTGGAGTTTTGATATGTTGGTAATTCGAGATAAGTATTTCGGAAATTCAAAATTTTGAGATTTTGGGACATTTGTGAATTTATTATTTTGGGAATTCGAGGTTATGGATATTTTAAATTTTGGGAAAATTTTTATGAAATTACGGAAGTTGAGACTTGAAATTTTAGGATTTTCAACTTGAGAATTTAAGTTTTTTTATTTTGAAATTTTGAGATTATTGAATTTTAAATAAAAGTATTAAGATTCTGGAATTTGAGACTATAGGAATTTGAAATTTTGTAAAATTCTAATCTTGGCATTTTTGTAACTTTGGGAGTTTGTGAATTTGAGATATTGGTAATTTGAGATATTTCGGAAATTTAAAATTGCTTCAACGTTTTGCTTTTTCTTCTCTGTAAAATTTGAATTACATAATCTGTCATTTAAAAAATAGCTTAGGTTTAGACAGAAACATAAATAACAATGGAAAATGGCACCTCTCTCGATTGTTTGTGTATTTTTAAGAAAACACTCCATTCTCTTATGCGATAAAATTAAACTCGATAATTGGCCTAAAATTAAAACCTTAAAATTTTCACAAATTCAGAAAAAAAACGGTATACAAATCATCATCCAATTTCTGATTAATTCAACATCTATCGATCAATTATCTTTTTTTTATCGTTCGCTTGTGTATTTTGAAATAGCCCTCGAAATAGCCTGAACTGTATACCATTCAACTTTTATTTACAATTAAATCATTTTTTTATTTTTACAAAAAAACAACAATTTTGGGAGTTTTTTAAGCTTAGAGATTTTATATTTTGGAGTATTTCGCCAATTGAAAATTTTGGAATTTTTGGACATTTGTGAAATTATTGTTTTGGGAATTAGAGGTTATGGATATTTTAAGTTTTGGAAGAATTTTTTATGGAATCCCAACTTTTTGGGAATTCTAGGCTATGGACATTTTATATTTTGGGAGAATTTTTATGATTCTATTCCGTTTTACCCTCGGTTTTACCACTTGTTGTTAGGTTAGGGTAGGTTGTTCCCCTAACATAAGATGAATAATTTCAATAATTTTACCTGGTGGTGGATTTGGAGGTAAAAAAGGGAAGGAATAACATGATCTGGACCGTATCTATATCTGATTGTTAAAACCGAGATTAAAACGGTACACTATTTTGAATCTTTATCGGGAGCAGAATGTCGCTTAATTTACAAATTTAAAGGATCTATTCACGTTTGCAATCTCTACAATATCTTCAGCAAAAATTGTGTACCTACTTTTGTTTATAAAATTAATGAATAAACAAAGCTAATACACAAAATGTATGGAAAATAAACCATTTATGGTTATGTAAAGTGAAGCATTGCGAAAAATCATTGTAATTTCGATGCCTACCGTAAAAATGGGCTTTATAGTCAAAATGAGTAATTTATGTGCCATACAAGTTACCAATTGAAACATTTTATTCCGATTCGCTATCAACAAGTCAGTAGTACATGAATACATGTGTGAGAGATCTTGTCATACTACAAAATTGACGTTTCCGCAATCGCCTATACGTTTTTAATCTGATTAATCCACCAGAAGCTCCAAATAATACCTTGGTGCACACGGGCACTTAATCGTTGCTACGCCACTGATTGGCAATATCTTCCTTAAACAGAGAAATAGAACAATGACTACTCGATTCCCTTGAATGAAATGGTAATCAATTTGTGGTCAAAAAATTCCAGCACCTTCTAGGTGTTGCAATTTCCATGTCACTTAGTAAAGTTTGTTGAGAAAACAATTAACGTGTAAGGGTTGAACGAGCAAACTTCCAAAAAACTGTTGCCTCCACCCCAGGAGTGCCATAAACCTCTATCGCTCATGCCCATTTGCATAGGGCCAAATCCAAAGCTTGCTTACAGAAATGGCATAGAATAGAGGCGGGCCATTAAATGCGTTATCAGCACGTTTATGTAACAACACCTTGTAAAACGTCCCATTGAAAAGTAAAAGTGTTCACGAGAGGTGAACACGCGGAAGTCCCGACGACCAGCAGCGGGTCCACGGAGATCGATGTAATTGACGAGTTTTAGGAGGATGACAATGGTAGGTTAGACGTGCGACCCCCCCGGAGGGTGGGACAAACGTGATGTAAACAAAAAATGTGACGGCCGCCTTCGTAAAAAAAATTAGCGTCGACACTCCCCCGACAGCAGCGGCCCCGAATTCGGGAAGTAAGAAATTTATTGTCGATTAAATTCCAATTGGATTAGGAGCCGAGCCGAGGTGGAATAAACATTTAAATAGACGCAGCCAAATCGGGCACTGCAGCAGCATGAGTGGAAAGATCGGAGGTGGCTGGGCCGCCTGCATTTAAAGGCGCACTAACAATTGAATTTAAATGTCCGTGCGCCTTCACACGCCTAAACCGCACCAGCCGGCGAGTTATCGCGACTTTTTTATATTAAAATTTTCACAATATTTCTTAAATCAATAGTCATGGCGCCTAGAAAATCAATCCCGCACACGAAATGCGCGAGAGCGATCTAAAAAAGTTACATAAATAAAAGCACATCCACTGACCTTGTATCATGCGTTGCGTGGTCGACAGTTTCTGATTATTCGAAGACATTTTTTGAAATAATTCTGTACACTTTAAACTATAAACATCGGATTTTCGTCGCACAAATTACACACACCGCTCACAAGCTAAATTCTACTCAAGATGGAGCATTTACGGCGACCCAGCCAAAGCTCAAAAGTGCGCACGCCACCGCGTCAAATCGTTGCAGAAATTTTGTTTACATACGCTCTCTCCATCTACAATCAGTGGCGGAGTTCGTGTTTACGCAGTCGTTCGATAGAGGGCGCCAGGCACAAGATAGTTGCAAATTTTTGCTGGATATAAATTGATATATACAGGGTGCAACCATCACTTAAATAACCAAGTAACAGCGTTAACAGTGTCGTACTCCGTAGTGTCTACACTTGTTTTAAATATAGTATCATCATAGCTGTGTATGATCAATGAGAATAGTGTAAATCTTTGTTAGAACCGTTTACTTATTTACTATGATCACGGTTTGAATGTATAGTGTGTTGCCTACATACACATTTTTACATTAATTAGTGGCACTGGCGGCTCGTGAGTTCTAAAAGGAGGGTGTGTGTTAAAAATGTTTTTTCACATACAACACAAGCAACGAATGCTGATTTAATTTATTTTAATATTTCCCGCTAATAAATTAACATTACATCTAACCATTCGTTTTGAATAGTCTTTTAACCCTCTTCACACCTGTGAACCTTTCATATTGTGTTGCAGGCGCTGCGTCTAATTCAGATGCAAAGTTTGAGAGTTGGCAACCATACAATTTCTTGGCGGGGAAAAGCTGCCTGCGCCACCTAGAAAGCACGAACGGGGGTTAAGTTTGGAATCTTGTCTTGAATGGCGGTCGTGAACGCGTCGTTCCATAAATGTTTGTTGTTATTTTGTGTTATTTAATGCAGGTAGTAATTTTTGCATTTCTTTATATCGTATTTATGTTTTGTGTGCCGCATTTTATATTTTGTGTGTTTGAATCTTTATTTTTGAAATTTATTTGGCTTAACCACAATGCAGAATCACATGTGTGATACCGTTATGCTATTGTTTGTAATTGTTTACGTTTTTGGTGTAATGCTTGCTTAATTTATGTTTATTGAGTTGATTACTTGGTCTTGTCCCTAAAGTTACATTCACATAAGTTTTGATCATTTTATTTTAATATGTGGAAATTACTGATTCGTTTGATGTATGTACTGACTTGTTGTTTGTTACTAACAATTTTCTCCTTGAATGAAGCAGTCACGGGGGTGGAAAAAAACTGTAGTCAAATTTGTATTACGACACCTAATTCCGTGATTGTCTTCGACATCCAACTGTAGGTTCGAAACCCCGAAACCAGGGGCGGACTACCCATCTTGCAGGAGCGGGATTCCGGATTACGCTAATCAAAGCTCTTCACTTTAGAATCTATGTGCGATAAATGAGTGGCGATTCAATAATTTCCACATTTCTTGTTTTTAGTTAAATTTGCCTACAAGGCCATGTAATTTTCCATTTTGTTTTTAACAAAAGGACCTTATTGCACCAAAGATGAGTCACATCCTGTACTCTTAACCCTTTCTCAGAATGTAGGTACCTGCTACTACCTGACCCACTGTTCCCAAAAACTTGCTTTTAACCTTGAGTGTAACCAACATTGTATATATGCATTTTCTATCTTTGTTAACTACTGCGTAAACTTTTACAATATATTTTGTTAATTAACTTTTGGACTGTAGGTATTAATCAAACTGCGAGGTTTTTCTTACGTCGTACTCTTTTTACCCTTAGCAGTTACTTTTGCGAGAGTACGACACCTTTTGGCTTTGCTTGTTTCGTTTATTTTATATTAATGTAATGTAAGTACATCAACTAAATTTCCGGGCTTTCAAAATCTTAATAATTACGATCATTATTAAACAAACTTTTGACAATTTCAGTGTTTCACTTAACGTTCCTTCCCTACTGTGCTTCAGGTCGAAGCATTGTCTACAACTAACGTAAGGGGGCCCTGCCTTAGATGTTTTATCACGTGCCACTTTTCAAATTTAAGCGGGATCTTGTTTAGTTTTGGAGGGAATAGTAATTCGGGTGGCCATTTTTTAACGTTGCCGGGTTGACTTTATTTCTGTGTTTTTGTAGTGTGAAGTTAGCGTAGAACCTGGGGGTTAAGTACAATGCGATCAAAAATGAGTTGCTGTCGAGTCGCCTTTGGAATTTTTGTTTACATGGGAAATCGCACTTAACTTGAACTTCCAAAGGCGACTCGACAGCAACTCATTTTTGATCGCTCGTTACACTACAAACTTAAGCGCTTCGCTACGAAAGTGTTGTGTCGAAAGTATTTGTGTTGGGTGTAGGAGTGCCGCTGCTACCATAGCTAACGCTGCAATGAATCCTCCCGTCGTTTACAACCGTTCTCTTCCAGATATTTGACTAGTTTTCTTAAAAGCTCTTGTTATGTAGAATAAGAGGACAAATTAATATCTTAGAATTTCGGCCATGACAAGCCATTACTGGACAGGTTCTGTTTCCTATGCTAAATTTAAAACGAGCATTGTTCCGTTTAGCTGTTATCAGCTTAATCGGTTGATCCCAACATTCCAATTAACAGTGGGTGTTATTTGGAGTACAGATTCTGAAAATCTTAATACGGCCAATTAAGCGAATTAAATTAACAGTCGCTAAATAAATGTGTAGCAGTAAACATCATTCATAGTGCCACAAGAATTATGGACCCAGTCCTATATTTTTCCGTTGATCCCCGGGCACGCAATTAATTAAAGACGTTTTAATTTTCGAGCGTTATCGCAAGGCAAGCCGTCGATCTAGAAAAATCGCAGATCCGCCAGAGCCATCTTTAGCAAATGTGAGGCCTGAAGCGAAATACTTTTGCGGGTCCTGATTGCCGAGCGGAGGAGGGGGGTTATGGAATACCGTCCGGGAAGGGGGATTTTTGCAAAGTTATACATGCAAAGTCGTCATTTTAAAGCACTTTGAATGACTGTCACGCGGCGAAAGAGAAAGGAGATCATGCAAGAGTGACTCACTCCCCGGCGAGCGTGAGGCTTTGTTCGCGACTAATGGCTACCTCGTACGAATGAAAATTTCGTTCGTAGGTGTTTTAATTAATCAATAGAACATATTGCGCGGGTAATCAGACAGATACTTTATATATTATATTATACAGGGTGTCCATTATGTATGGAATATAATGTATCTCAGTAAATATGGAATGTATATAAAATTATTCCGATAATAAGCCACCATTCAGTTGTTTTTATTTTAAAAAACAAATGAGTAACGAAAAACAATTGATTTTTTTTAATTGGCAATGCACTTTTTCATTAGGCTCATTTGATAGAGGTTTTGTTCCATTTTCGAAGATATAACATGTTCGTACCCTTATTCAAAAAAATTTAAAAAAAATTATCATAATTAGATGCTAGGTGCTAACGTGTTATGTCATGGAAAAGAGAAAAAAATTCATTCCTTTTCTGAAAAAAAAACAATGGAATGCTGCCGTATTATGGGAAATAAATTGTTAAACAACTTTCATATAGACAAATTTTGTATACAGTCGATATTTACCGAGATATGTACTATATTCATAATGGGCACCCTGTATATTTATATACAGTGTGTAAAGCGATGGGGTATACAAGAGGGATTTTTTTTTCAAATTTTGATTTATGAAAAAAAGTTATTCTTCATGATATTTTTTGCTTGCTTTGAAAGTACCAACAACGTTTCGATAATCTAAAATTTATTTATAGAAATCTGGAAAAATAATAAAATTAATTTTTTTATTGAAAGTTATCATTCTACATTATAATCAAGATAGCGTATTGCTATCAAACCACAAACACTCGAAATGTTATTGGTACTTTCAAAGCAAGCAAAAAATATCATGAAGAATAAATTTTTTTCATCAATATTTTAAAAAAATCCCTCTTGTATACCCCATTGCTTTACACACTTAGAGTATTATTATATTATTTTCATTCAACCAAAACTTATATTTATTAACGAGCTCCTAGCGAGTTTATAATTTTGCGGTGTCTGTCCGTCTGTCTTCATAAACGAATGGACCGATTACGATGAAATTTTGGAGGTGGATTCTGTATCAAATTTGTAGATCGGAGTTCGTGAATTGGCAATGTATCCCAAAAAAATAAGGAAGGCCCTTTTGACATCTCCGTGAGTTATGAACCGAATTGCATGAAATTCAATATGCGTATAGTTTTTGCCATATAAAACGCACTTCCAAAAATTGATCCTAATCGATCGACAGTCAGAGTGCCCTTTTCGCATCTCGACCATTTACAAACCGGATTGCAAACTTTTTTATTTAGGAAAGTATTTGAATGAAATTTGATACATATCCTTTGAAATAAAACCAAATTTAACGTCAGTTTCAAAATTTCGTTTTGCGCATGCGCAGTGCCAACTTTCTTATTTATGGAGTGATTTAAATGAAATTGTAACGCCACTTATATTATTCGAGGGCAGTTGTTTCCCTAGGAGCCAAAGTGGTGGCAGAAGACATGGCCGCGTTCCCGCCAACTACGACAGACGTCCCATATTGTTTTGTTTTTGTTTTGAGTTGTTGTCAATTAATTAAGAATGCGTCGCCATAAAATTATGTAAAAGTGTTTTCTTCAAAATAAATTATTATAACGTAGTTATTTTTTAATATCAGCGTTATAAAATTAGATATATAGCCACTTGGCATAAAAGCAAATGCATTTTTCAAATTTGGTTTTGTGTAGAATGTGCAGTGCCAACTTTCTTATTTGTGGAGGCAATTAAATGATATTTCATACATAACACTTTAAATAAAAGCAAAAACTACCACCAGCATCAAAATTTGGTTTTTCACATGCTATAGCCATACCCAGGAGCTCGTTTGCTATATTTGTTTAATTTATTTATCTATAGATTTTAGTTTTTCTTGTACAGTTATTGCTACCGCTTCGTTAATTACAAGTAAGCTTTTTGTTACTTTACGTTTCTTAATTACAAGGAGAGAATATGTCTCGATTTTTAAATTGCTGCCCCGAAGAAACCGCTACCGAATTAGTATTCAACATTAACATAGCCCCAACGCTTACCTTCAAATTTTGGGATCGCCGTCTCCATTCGAGTTACCTGAGTACCCGACACCGCCGTTCCGTACGGGATCTTTAAAAATGTTTAGCATTAATGTGCCTATGCCTATTCCCTGTCCCCTTTCCCTTCCCCTTCTCCTTCCCCTTCCCCTTCCCCATCCCCCACATACTCCTGTCATCACTGACATATTGACATTAATCAAAAGTTCTATATGAAAATTGAAATTTTATATTAAAATACTATTTCGGGTACAATTTAATACAAAACTCGTCAGTAAAATGACATTACACGACTCGGAAATTAAAGTACTCGGCTCCAAAGGGGCCTCGCACTTCATTGTTTTCAATATTGCCATTTTCCGGACTTTTATGTAAATATTTAGTTATTACCGCTGCATTGTCTGTTGTTGGCTGATAATTTGTTAAAAGCAACGAAATAATCAATCGATGACCTTGAACTTAAACTTTTGAAAAAAATTGCCCCCCCCCCCTCCCGTAAAATCCACTTTTTTAATTCGCCCTGGCTATAACAATCAAGGCCCTGATAGCAACAAACCTCTGGCTACGGCCCTGGTTAAAAAGATTTTTTAAGGACATTGTAAGGTTCTCTCAAATTCTTCATCTTCTTCAGAAATCATGGTTTGGAAGACTCTTGGCTTTTCCAAATTATTGGGGATAGTTCAACACTCATCAAAGCTCTTCAATGCCCTTCAAAATTTTTCACTTCAAGTTTATTTTGATGGTCCGTTAGAAGCCATACAAAGTTTTCTAAAGGTTTCCCAGATTGCAGAAACTTTAAGCGCCTCCAAGATCTGCAGTAGGTACTTCAATCTCTGTCAAACCCCTCATGTTTCTTCAAATTATTCACCACCCGTTTCTTCGACGATTTTCTTCAAAATCTTTTAAGACCTTTCAAATGGTCAAAGAGTCTTGGAAGTGACCTAGAGCCTTGAGTATAACCTTGTAGAATCGAGGAAGACCCTTCAAGAGTGGAGCATGCGACTTGAGGGCATGAAAGAGACCTGAAAAACTTGAGGGGCTCTTAAAAGCCTTGGAACGCCTTAAAAGGGCCCCGAGTCAGAAAGCATATCGGAAGGCCAGAAAGGCTTCAAAGAATTTCCAGTTCTATTTTGCTCATTACTCATCAATAGGGAAAACAGGTACTTTCACGTTATCATCGCTTGATAAGATAAATTACTTGGCACAAGTATAGATAGGTAGGTGACCACAAATCATTCGGTTTTCGCAATGACTTCCAAACACATCGAAAGTGATACGACAGTGTTACACTTACAAGCGCAAGGACAGGATGGTAAGTTGGAGGAATTCTCCAAATTCAATTTACGTAGGTAGTGAATTCTAGATTCCGTAAGGATTCCATTTCGCCCGTCGCCTTGTAAGGTAGCAGATATGGAGATAGAGACATTCGCGCCAAAATTTACTGAAAATCCCCACGCGGTCGAACATGAGGATGAATATCCGAGAACCGGTTCCGATCCCGGCTTGGTGGTCATTTTCAATCAGCAAACCTTTGGTGACGACGACGAAATGGCGAGGCGGGGAACGAATCGGGACGTGAACGAACTTATTCTCACCTTTGGCCGTTTGGGTTATAACATTGAGGAGCGCTACATCTACAACAACTTGAAGAGATTCGAAATTCTGGAGGCGATTAAAGAGTGTAAGCCATGCACCGCACGTTGGCTCGCGATTTACCTGACCTTTTTAGTGTCCTCCACAGACCACTCGGACCGAAATTGTTTAATAATCATCGTCTTGACGCACGGCGAAGTCAACAACGTGCTTCAGGTCGAGGACGGGCTAATGGAAACTTCCGAATTTTGGACGCCATTCTCCAACACCTCGTGCCTTTCGTTTTCTAGCAAGCCAAAGTTCTTCGTCTTCCAAGTAAGAAAGCGCAAGGCGAGCCGTGCCAGTAACCCCATTTTTTTTAGGCGTGCAAGGGCAACCAAAACTCCCGAAGTGGCGAGTTGACTGTACCGGTAATTCCCGCGGGAACTTACCGAACGCCGCTGGAAACCGATTTTCTGATCGCCTTTGCGGCCGTCGAAGGTACCAGATCGTACAGGCACACCCTCCTCGGCTCGTGGTTCATACAGGAGCTCTGCAGGAACTTTAACGCGCACGGACGGCGCGATGACGTCATCAGTTTGCTTTTGAGAATCACCAAGTGCGTCGCCTACAACCATTATCATGTGGCCAAGGATAATGGAAGAAAGGTGATCGTAAAGCAGATGCCGTTGCTGCTCTCCACGCTGACAAAGAAATTTTACTTGTGCAAGAGCAAGGATAGGAACTTACTGCTTCAGCTGAAGAAGAAGCAAGAAGAAATGTTGGAGCTGTTGGCAGAGGCATTAAAATCCACGTAATGGAGCTTTTGCTCTTATTTAATTTTTAGAAATCGGCATTTTAGAAAAGATTACAAAATTCAAAAAACCGCACTTTCTGAATGTAAACACAGCAGAATAATTTACAAATGACGGCTGTTATTATTTTATAATGCATCGTGTTTCATTTGTTTAATTTTACAAAGCCTACCTAAAAGTAATAATAATAATAATAATAATAATGTTTATTCCCACAAAAACAACTAATAGGAAAACAAAAATAAAATAAATAAAGAAAACAAGTGTAGTGTGCTTTTCTTTCGCGCCATCGACAAATACCGGAAATACGTGAAAAGTATATTAAAGATACAATTTAAGCATTTTAATTAATTAATTAATCTCATTTCCCAATATTTAAGGTTAAGACCGAGATTTTTAAAAACGGTTTTCACTGGCCTCTTTGGATGTTATTTGGCTACTTTTTCATAAAGAAAAAGTCATATTATTCTATTTGAATTTTTTTAATTTTTTTAGGATTGTGGGTCATAGTGTCAAAACTAGCCCCCTGGTGGAGAAGGATTCAACTAAATTAACTATAATGCTCTTTTCAACGATACCAAATTTGTTACAATCGGTCAAACGGTTAAGAAGTTAAAGGAGGTTATGGCAAAAACAATTGAACGCCCCACGTCATCTTGGTTTTTGAAATAACTGAGTTTTTGTTTACGAAAATGATAGATAAACTGGTTCTCTGAAAAAAGAATTTTAGGTTTATTATGCGAAATTTAAAGAAAATGCAATTTTAAAATTTAATATGGCAATTACACTCTCTGGTGGTCATTTTTAGAACATATTTTCCAGCGATTCTTCATAACCAATTTACCCATTAATTTTTTTTACTCCTAAGTCATACGACGAACGGTCCCCGAGATATGGCCGAGGAACAGTCTTATTGGGTCACCCGGTACAGTAACTATATTAGGATATGTCATATGTCCACAATATACATTTAGCCATAAGCAGCGCCTTTATTCACAGAATTTGGCAAGAACACAAAGAAAAGTGTAAACTCATATGTATAGGTACTAAATAAAGTATAGCATTTTAGCCCCAATATGGCGACGGGAACGAACGACCAATCAAAACACTGTATCCACTGTTCTAATGGAGTCACTGTACCTATACCTAGAAACGATTGGATTTAACGCCATAAACTTGTGAAACTACAATGAGAGCGTTATAACCAAATCTTGTTTTTCCCGGATAGACAACTACCATTATTTAAGTAAGCAGGTATACTGCTATTGATGAGGGAACAGGTTTTTTAAATCAATTGTTCTCCAATAAAATAAAATGAAGGTGTCGAAGGCTTCCTGAATTGAAGAAAATTTACAATTGTATAAGACCTATGGTAATTAAGTCCTAAATCATCAGTAAGGTCAGAAACGGTTTATGTAAACAATTGAAATTCCTGCTACCTACTTCAATGGATTTTCTTAATTAAAATTTAAAAAAAACAATACAAATAAATACAAAACACGTTAAACAAGTATAAATTGTGCACAACTCTTGTGCAGATAAAGCGCATTTTTTTAAGAACCGAAATAGGTTTCGTTTTGACATCACCAATGGATATATTTCTTGCAGACGTCTCAATCGCCCTTTGTGAGTACCCTCTTCCGACAATTCGTTCTTGAGGTATAAGGAAATATACGCGATCACGATAAGAGGTCTAGGAGGAGGATTATGGTTGGTAGAAATTAATTCATTTCGTTGAGACGTTTCATTAGAGTACCATGAAGGAACTAGTGCCACTCTCCCGCCCCTCTACTCCACCCCGTATTTTGAGGACAGAAAAAAGGACACTAGTTGGTAGAAAACGGTTCCTTGCGTTGAGATCTTTAATTAGAATACAGAGAAAAAATAATGTTTAACCCCCCCTCAGGCCTCCTCGCTCACTCATCTCGAAAAAGAGTCGCACGGGAAAGTTATAGTTTGTACAAACCAATTTATTTCGATGTTTTCTTTCCTTCGTAATAAAAAGCCGAGGTGTGTCTTGACTTTTACGGAAAAGTTTAGTCGGCGTGCTGTGATTATCGACCGTTTGTTCACAGAGGGTCTTCAAGTTATCAGTTAAAGGGAGTTTTTCCATCACAAAAAGCTAAATTTCGAACAAACCCAGTGTGGTATCACTCGAGACTCGAGTGCTACAATTGAAGTCAAAAGGTAAAGTTTCGAAGCAATATTACCTGGTGTTTTGTGTTTGTGCAACATTTATTGTAATCGCAGATAGGTACGACCGGAGATTTTGGATTATAGACACTTTTTTGATTTTTTAATTAATCGGGAACTATCGATCGCTTGTTGCGTGGTATGTTATTCTGGCCCTGAGATGATTCCCGTAAAAACGGACTTGGAACATCCCTCCGTGCAGAGACAATATTTCGGAAATTGACCAATGGGAACTGAAAATTGGATCTTAGTACCGCTATCTTCAATTCAATGGATTTTCTAAGAATAGATGCTCTCTGGAGATAATTTTGCGAACTTTGAACTTCTGTGTTTATTATTACTGGCAAACGAAATTATTTGCTTCTACTGCAGTTTGTCCATAGCCTTCTTTGTTTGACTACAACTGTTCCTATTTTCAATGGTTCTGAACGCTTTGAAGTTCCACGAAAGGAAAGACTCGTTAAGTAATATTGAACACTACTTCTTACCCATAATTTTGCAAATACGTTCATTTACGATTTTATGCCACAAGCTCTTATGACAAAGGTTAACCCCTTTTAATTCTCGAAAAACCTTGGCACAGACACGTTTCATTATTCCGCCTTGGCGTTAAGGTTAGTTTTTCCTTTTACTTGCACAATAATCCTTTTGGCTAGCAACACGTTTACTTAAATGGCTTACGAAAAACTCGCCTAAAACTCTCTCCTGGCTTTAACCACAGATCTGTGCTTTAACCTAAACTTTTTTATGATGGCCCAAAAACACAGAACTTCTCGCCCTAGCGACTCCAAAAAGGATTTTTTACGGCGGTTCCCGTGGTTAATTCTTGCATAATCAAAAGACCGAATCTCCCAAAATACTTCTCCGGATTAATCCCTACCTATCTTTTTGCAATTAATTAACGCCCCTTCAAAATGGCGCCTTGTAATTAAGTAAACCTGCATTTTTCAAGAACAAATCTGATTGGTTGTGTCCCGCGAATTACACACGAGTTAGGCCGTTCATCGTTATCTCACGCGTTTGGTTTTTCTGCAAGCTTCCCTTTCCACAAGCAAGCAATGATCTCATCTTGATTTCGCAATTTGGAGCACGCAAAATCAATTCAGATAAAACTATCCACGCTGAAAGACCGACATGTTGGAGCCAAGGAACTCGCTTTACAAGGTCACTGCGTTTCTCGAACTCAATGACGTATTAAAAAAATGATTCGTGAACTTTGTCTATTGCCCACAAACTTCTAAAACCTAAGCCCCGAATTTCATTTGACTTCTTCAGTTTCAAAATACACACAAAAGGAAATACCACCATCACCATCAGGTACCAATTTATATACTGAAATCGCAATCTGCAAAATATGATACACCTGGAAGTCACTTTCCTTTTACTAACGCTGTCTGTTTGTTCCATTTTTGAGAGCCTTACAATCACATACACCGACTTTCCTGTACCGGTTGGACCGACAATCATCATCGGCTTCCGATGCTGTACCAATAACGTCATCAGGGCCATATTTCGGATAGTTTCAATAGTGGTCACGATGATTTTGTTAACCGGGATATCGCGGGGAATCGGAGGAGCGGTCATTAGATCGTCGGACCACAATCTCCACTTTCCCTTACCCTGAAAAGCGCGCAAGTTTTGACATCACCAATGGATATATTTCTTGCAGACGTCTCAATCGCCCTTTGTGAGTACGACAATTCGTTCTTGAGGTATAAGGAAATATACGCGATCACGATAAGAGGTCTAGGAGGAGGATTATGGTTGGTAGAAATTAATTCATTTCGTTGAGACCTTTCATTAGAGTACCATGAAGGAACTAGTGCCACTCTCCCGCCCCTCTACTCCACCCCGTATTTTGAGGACAGAAAGAAGGACACTAGTTGGTAGAAAACGGTTCCTTGCGTTGAGATCTTTAATTAGAATACAGAGAAAAAATAATGTTTAACCCCCCCTCAGGCCTCCTCGCTCACTCATTTCGAAAAAGAGTCGCGCGGGAAAGTTATAGTTTGTACAAACCAATTTATTTCGATGAGACCTTTCATTAGAATACCATGAATGGTAGAAAATGTGTTTACCCCCCCCCCCCCGCTTTTTCTAAAATTTAACTTGGGCACCTGTGAATTTTGAATCCATTCGACTCCACTTTTGGCATCTGGCATTCAGTTCATAACGTTGAGTGAAGGATGGTTCATAACTAACGGAGATGTACTCGTAAAAGCCATCGGATATAATAATAATAATAAACGCAGAAAAAATTCCTTCCTTGGTGCAAGCCCCCACACCATAACGAACCAAATAGCGAAAAAAGTAGAACAATAGCTCTTAAGATAAAGCTGGTAGCAGGTAAAGGTTGTATGACGTGCAAAAATTTTTTTTTATTGATAACATCAATTTAATGTTATCAATAAAAAAAATTTTTGCACGTCATACAACCTTTACCTGCTACCAGCTTAGATTACGTGCACACATCCGTTCGTTAAAATACTTAAGATAAAGAACTAGTAGCGTCTCAACGGATGGACGGACGGACGGTTGGACAAGGTGGCCACAATAGCGCATTGTTTTTATATTTGTGGAACTGCGCTAAAAAGACTTCGAGACCAAACGAGAGTCTCATCGTTACTTTCGCCGAGACTCGTAGTCAATCTCGTCTCGCCAAGACGAGACTTTCGCCGACACTGAACGTAGGTCTCCTTTCGAAAATTTGAGACGAAACGGCGGCATCACTAGTTAAAATTTTGGCATTTTGTAGCCTGCGCATGCGCACATTTGATCATTGCTATGGGCGATCTGTTTGCCTTTGCCAATGGCAGTTGTAGTTTTCGATTTGTAATACATGTGATATATTTCTTTCTTTACTATAAGCATCTATGGGTAAGATTTTAAAGAAATATCTTCATAAATAAGAAACTTGGCATTGTGCAATCTGCGCATGCGCACATCGCGCAGCCTGATCATGCCCACATTAATCATCAAGATTTTTCCTGCCTCAGGTGTCAGAGCGATAAGCTACCGAATTAAAAAAGAATGAACTAAATATATTGAAAACTGTAGCAGTAGTTAGGGCCTCTGACTGAGGGTTGACATTTTGAGCATGCGATGCGCACATTAGATTTTTACAATATGCAGTATGCTTGTCTTTACTAGAAGCATCTGTGGTTAACATTTCTAAAAAATATCTCTACAAATAAGAAAGTTGATACTGCGTAGAATGCGCATGCGCACGTTAATCGTCGAGATTTTTCTTGGTTGAGGTGCCAGAGTTATTAGCTACGCAATGCAAAAAGAACGAACTAAATATCTTGAAAACTGTAGGAGTAGTTAAGGCCTCGGACGGACGGGCGGACGGAGAAACATGAGTTGGAAAATGCGCTAAAACGACATTGGGGCATTGGTCCAAGAACTTTAGGTACGCAAATTCCAGGTCAGAGGTCTAGAGAAGGTATAGGTCGATAAACTTAGGACCTGTATTACAACCAAAAAAGCATCACAATAACGCCATTGTGGAATCGTTGTTGATTTAATGGTATTTCCCCCATACGACCAACCAGGCTAGGCACCCCCAAGGAATTTAAATAGATGGTGCACGATGGCATAGTCAAAAAGTGGTAAATCCTCACATCTATGGGGCAGCACTGTGTCATGTGTCAAGGCAAATGTTTCTTGGGAGAATGAAATGCATCCGAAAATGCTACTCCTAGGAGAATTCCCGATATTGACTGCTAAGGGAATGAGACGCAAACTTACCGAAAAATCACCTCTCAAAAAAGTGTCGCAATACTGTAAAAATAGAAAATGGCTATACCTGCGTTTATCTATGGGTCAAAAACCTCTAAGGAGCGTGTCAAATGTCTAGACCTTTCGTATATTAAACTGGAAACGAATACTTTTGACGTTTGGAATTCTGGATCACAGATTAGGTACTCGATCTAGGGGATTCCGAACATTCCCATGCTACTGTGAAAGAATGTCCAAACACGTGAATTCACTGGTTTCGTACTGAATCATCGATTTTGCTTATCGGCGAAAATTATACTCTTATCAGCGTCCTCATTACATGAACTACCACAATAAAGATAAGCATTGTTTTAATGTTAAAGTAATAACATTGTTTATTTTAAGGTCAAGGTACTCTTTGGGCGCTATCTCCACGGTGGACGTTTCTCCGCTTTTGGGATCTTCTTTCGTTTGGATCCTGGCAAATCAGCCTGACTCGTTTCCTTCGACGAGGGCGCTGACCTCTTCTCCTCGTTATTTCGTTTGATTTCATTATGCCAATTCCGCAACTGAATTATGGTTTCGTCCTGATTGTTATGGAGGTCATGGTAGTGCCCGCGGTTTGCGCTGGACGACACGTAGAACTTGCGGGTCATGGTTGAAATGATCAACGGTCTTATGTACTTGTGGTCGTGGGTGCGCGTCACTAAGCCTATAATGTCGTCCTTTTGACCGAATTTGTCGATTTTGTTGCAGAGAGACCGAATGAATTGCGCCCTACTGTGGTAACCTACAAGGATCTTATTAGACTGGTTTAGGGGTAGTAAGAGAGGATTACCTACCGGTCACTTTATACACTATGAGGATGTCAGCTTCAGATGGCAAACTGTAGGCACCTTGCGGGGTCATCGCCTTGGAGTCAAACGCGTAGGCGGTTGGTTTTCGGCATGCCTTGAAATTAAAAACTCTTTTGTAAGCATCTACATCGACTAGGAGCTATACCTGAAATATAAAAATTTTGGGTTTGTTTCGCAAAGAAGGGCAGTTATTCGATGTGAATTTGGTCCAAACATCCCTTAACTCTATGGAAGAGTCCGGGTCCTCGTCCAACTCAAGTTTGCCCTCCTCCTCGGCCATGCCCAGAAAGAAGATGATTAGGCAACTCTTCTCTTTGTGATCGCCTTTTGCAACTAGGAAAATCAAGTGAACTTTGGGGAATATCAAATTTGGAGCACGTACCTTGATCCAAAGCCTCCAGAACAGCACTTCGACTTTGTAACCCAAAGACATTGGAGTCCGAAACATTGTAACCTTGATCGCGAAACTCCCTTCGAATCACCTGCTCATTGTCCACGTCGCGTTTGGAGTAAAAAATTAGCACCAGGCCCTTGCTATTATCGCGATGCTCGTATTCGTCTGGAATGAGTTCTGTCGACGGTGGTACCGTTATCTCCTCCACGTCGTCTGGGTGGAAAAGATGCTTTGGAATCTCGTACTTTTCTTCCTTTTGGCGCACCACCTTTCCGTCCGATTCAAACATTGTAATACGTACACAGACACTGCCTTATCTTGCACTGATAACAGATTGAAATACCTACTAAATCCGTTATCAATGTCTAGAAAATTCGATCAGGTGAGTGATCGGTAAATAAAAAAATTCCCTGGACTGTCTTAGAAAAACCACAGTTGTACATACATGGTGGTCTAAACATACATATAATTCTCAATAATGGAAAAAGGCCATTAATACTCGAAAAACCACAAAAAAACGCCGCTTCGAACGTTCAAGTTTCGCTCTAGGCCTAAAATGGCGAAATGGCATTCTATGCAGTTAATTTTCATGGTTTCTACTAGAGTGGTGCTTGCTTTTTTTCAGATCAAATTCTTTTGAGTACATTTGTAATATGCCCAGAAATGTATCAAAATGTCTTACAACACTCTGAAACTGACATTTTAAGAACTTTACATTGGCCATTTGTGGCCATTCTTGAACTCTGTATGTCCCTCTAAACCCAGGCGATTAAATTTTGGTATAGCTTGTAAATGACCTTAGGGGCCGGCATTGCAATTTTGACTTACCCTATACCTACAGTTGGCAACTCTGGGGAAACATAAGCAGAACCTTAGACTATGCTTCTCTAAGAGCATGAGATGCCCCAACCTTAGCAACGTCCTGTGAAAACGATTGTCGATACGAAGCACCCTATAAGTACATCATTTTAGTTACACAAGCTGCCATCCGAAATCTGGTGGGATTACAGAAAAGGGAAAGAGAGCGAAGATGAGACGGATGGAATTTCTTGGAAGACCACATATGTTTACCATTTCAAACACCTGCAGTCCAGTTTTTACCTAGAAATGCGTGAAATGCAGGGAATGGATGATTTTCGGGTGGTTTTTAGGGGTGTTAGCAGATCAAATTACAGCGTGCCTTGGGTTGGTCAATAAATACGATTTAACATGTGTGTTCCGGGTCTTTTTCTTGTAACCGGCTTAAGTGTAAAGTACGGCTTCTCTTGAAATATTTTGTTATACCTTAATCATTGCTGTGTGCTTTTGCTTTTTATATCAGGTGAGGTATTTGCTTTTTTCAATTCATTTATAAATGCGTGTAACTTGAATGCAGATTGTAACCCTTTACTTATGTACTTACTGGATTCAATCACTTGTACCTTTCAATGTGTAACCTTTGTTGGTGTTGGCAATCATGTTTCATTATCGGTAGGACTGTATCTGTACTGTACATATTTGTGTATTGTGCTTTTTAGTCACTCTCGATTTTTCATTGCATTTCATTATATTTGCTTATTTGGGACTGTGAGTAATCAAGAGGGAAGTGTGCTTGTTTAGAGGGGATCGAGTTATTCAAGTTTATACGGGCCTTGGTGAACCTAACAATAACATTTTCACTCGTTCCGAACCCAACAACTTTAGCCCACCCCACTGGGCCTGGGTAATCCTACCGTCCGGCGAGACACATTTAATATCTCTTAGTTTTGTCTGATGTATGTGTTGTAATACCTGGGGAATGGCTCGATTCCATTTTGGTTACTCATAGCGTATATGTAGCATTTACCCCGGTTTCGAGAGGGCTCAGAAGTGCTGTACATTAGATGTTATCTGTAGGCTTTGTTCATTATAGGGCTACTCCGATTTAGGTTTTCCTGCAGTTTTCCTAATTCGTAAGGTAAATGCCGGAGTAGTATAGAACCACTTACGACCCTCGGCAGGGGCACCGTATTGGTATTAGCTTCAATATCATCTTAATCAGCTATTGCTTTTGGTGTTCTTTACCCCTAAAACGCCCTCAGTGCCTGCTTAGAACTCAGTTACTACACAACGTAGGTGTCCTACATGACGATCACGATCTTAGTGCACTTGGAGTGGCCGCCGAGTGACAGATTCTCGCGTGAAACTTAAACGAGAATATTCAAATAGGCAGCCATGTTAATTTGGCATTCCCGCCACTACAGAATATGGTCAAATGTTCCGGTGTGCGTTAGCCCGCCAAGATAGTAGGAGGCTAAGATCATTACAATACTTTTTACTATTTTTATTTGCAATAATAATAATGCGACATTGCTTTTCTCGTTTGAACCATCTTGCACCACAAAACAAGGTCACTCCTTAGTTACGTCGCCGGGAAATACCCTTTCAGCGATGTTGCCACCGTGGTTTTAAATAATAATCACAGAAACCTCAAAATATCAAGATAGTAGCGGGTATGAGGTCCAAGGAATAAACATCACAATGATGGTATAGGTACTTTCACGTGTATACATAAATAAATACTTAATAAAACAATATAAAGGCATAAGCATCTGTACTGTATAACAAAAAAAGCATGATTTATTTCTTTTTGGCTTCATTTTTGTGTGGGCGGGGTTTCAGTCAAAGGTGCTGTTATGAGGTTGGCAACGATGTTAACGGGGGAGAGGAGACACTTCTAACACAGAAGTGATATAAAAACCTGTTCTTGCATTTGATCTTGTTTTACTTTATTTTACGGCCATCCCAACCCACTATACATTTACAAATATCCATGTTTGGACTCGGATTCGAACCAGACACCCTTAGTACCGCAATCCAGCTTCAACTGAACTGCGCCACACTTGTCGGCTAACTTTAGTAATGGTACTAAAACAAAAGCTAACTTTCTGCCATTGCTAAATTTCCTGTTCCAAGAGGTACCTTGGTGCAGATCGAAAATTTATTCGACGTGATGGATTTACAGAAGAAACTCAAACAACCCACGAAGAATTGAAGGAATACAAGGAAACACAACCGACGGAATTAAACGAATTTCAAGTGAAATGAATCTGGAAAACATAAATACACTGAAAGACCAGAAAAATTCCGTAGAGGAAAAAATGCCCAAAATCTGGAATGTTCCAAAGATGGGAAACGACCCAAAGAAAGAACTGTATTGCTTGACAGGAAAATTTCTTTTTTCGTTTATTTGAATACTTCACGTTCTTCGGGTGGTGTGAATTACTTGGATTTTCAGATTTCTTTATATTTACGGTTCTTCGACATCTTATAATTCCATTTCTTAGAGGTTTTTTGATTCTTCGGATTGTTTGATTTCATCAGATGCTTCGGAATTTTTTGATCTTCACTTTTGTTATACTTTTCAGATTTATTTGGTTCTTCAAACTTCATTTCGAATTTTTCATATTCTTCAAATTCGTCAAGCTTTTTATGTTCCCATCGCGGGATTACTCAATTTCTTCCCTAACTAGATTTCATTTAGAACAGATTTAAAGAGACCGCCAAAGGTAAGGAAATATAATCTTTGGGAATAACAAGGAAAATGCAGACTAATAGAATACTATTTTACTACTAGGAAGTAAAGTGCACAGATAGTAAAAACAATACTAGGCACATTCCTGACAAGGTTGCCGCATAAGTATTTCCTGCATACTAATATTAACATAGGTTACAGAAGAAAATCTGTGATATAAATAGGTAGCATGTAAGTAAACAATTCAAACTGTCGGTAACGTACCGGGTTTGTGATTATAAGTGTAATGGTCCTAGGGGTCTATCAAGCCGATACGGAAATCGTTGAGTTATCCTATACTTACCGTTGGCCACTCTGGGAAAAAACTACGAGCAGAGCCATCTACCTTTCAAGTCGGCGGCACTTTTGCATTTGGATGGCAACCGGCTCGATATGGGTGGCACGAATGAACTACGTTTTGTAATCGGTTCTTGTTATGCGTTGGAACACGAGACATAATCGGGAAGGTAATTAAATAAAAGACAAAACTTTTGTGCGTAAGAATTGACAAGAACAAATAAATATATTACGCAAATACGCATACAAGACCATACCAGGGAAACCTTCTACGGGACAAAAACCCCGACATAGGCCACACCATGAAATAAATCAGCTACAGCAACGAAATGCGAGAGAAAGTACAGTAAAAATCCCCTAGTCTTCGACATCTGCGCAGACCGGTCGATTGTTTATATACAGAGCATATTATATTTATGTTTCAGATGTAAATTAAAAATCTCAAATTGTATGATAAATCTCAGGAAATTGAATCAAATGCAATTAAACAAATTCTTAAAAACAAAACACACGAGACGTCATAAATGGAGTGAAAAACATGATAAATCAATGTAGTACAAAGACACATCAAAATACATGTACAATCAATTGAGATAACACAACTCGTAAAATAAATTGCATATACATAAGAAAAATCAAAATGGCGTGCCTCTACTCCAGCCTCCATTAAAATAATTTTATTTAACACGAAAAATACATGAGAGAATGCCAATAGCAAGTATTCATGTGGAAGGCGATCATCGCTCAAGAAAAACATATTTTAAATAGAAGAAATGTTAATTTGAGTTCCTACCCCTTCTCATATTTGCGACACAGAAATGCAGCCTACATGAGACGAGCAGGTCACAGATACAGCGAACAGTCCAACTGTATAATAGGTCCTACTCCACGGAAACAGGTTGAACCACTCGCACACAGACACATCAAATAAGAGAGCCCCCCTTTTCGTATAGCTAACGCACATGAACTGCAGAGCGCCATGAATAAGAAAGTAACAGATACAGCAAACAGTCAAACTGTGTTAGGTAATTCCCTCACGGAATAGTTACTATTCATAAGCAACATCACACTGATAATCAACTCCTCGTGAATACAGAAAAAAAACCTAATCAAACAAAATAATGACATAATGACCTGCACAGTACCTATAACAAACAATAAACATGATTCAGATAACGGTACTCGTAAACAAAGGCTTGGAATACGCCATCTTTAGATATCGGCATTTTATGAAAAATCAGCAAAATGTAAATAATAAATTGTGACAAGAAATGCAATGATGAATAGTTAGTACAACAAAGGATAAAATGGTTTCTACCTGTAAATAGATACAAAACACAATAAAGTAAATAATCAAGAAGAAAAACCCAGGAAAGCGTGATGCTCTCCAACGGTCCCAGCGCCATCTTCTTCATTCTACCACATTTTTTCCCTAGCTTCTTTATAAAAATCCCCTAGTCATCGGCATCTGCGCAGAACGGTCGATTGTTTATATACAGAGCACATCATATTTATGTTTCAGATGTAAAGGTGTTTTGCCTAACCATAAGGGTGGATTATCACATAAGATAATCCCCTTTGTGTAAGTTTGCTTGGGTGTACAGCATAAAAAAGCACCCTTCTGTGGATAGAAAAAATTGAAATAACCCACACAAATACGCGAAATAAATCAACTAAGACAATAAAATGGAAAGTACAAAAATACGTAGAATAAAAGTCAAGTATCGAGATGGAGATAAATGCAGTTAAACATACCAACAAGAACAAAACACAAGAGAGAAGTGGAAAACACGATATGTTATAAAAACACATCAAACAGTTCAATTTAAACAAAACAGAACAACTCAATGCAATAAATTGCATGTAGGTACATAAAAAACATAACGTAAAAGTAGAAGTAAACATGCAAGCTGTATTCATGTTAAATATTGATTATCTCACATGCATAATCACATTCGAAAGAGAAGAAAAGTTAACTTGAGGACTCTCCTTCTCGTATTGCAAACGTTCTGCCAGGTAGCGAGCAGGAGATAAGTGATCAACATATATAGCGAAGAATTGTTAATCGAATCGTGCAGACGATATCACACACATGAATGCATAAATAAATACTTAATAAAACAATATAAAAGCTTAACCACCTGTACAGTATAACGAACAAACATGTTTTATTATAATGGGAGGTACTCAAAACAAAAGTCATTATCAATAAATTTCCATACTACGACACGAAATTTTATGTAACAGAGTGGGTCTCAAAGTTTCAACTTTATCACCCCAAAAGCGATCCAGTTTTCAATTTTTCTTGGGCGGCTCCTTTTTCCAGGGAAGGCCGTACTATTCGTAACCTAAGGGAAAACACTGGTTCCAGCGATATGGGTATACAACTAGTTAGTTACAAAGGACAGATGGGATTTGATTTCAGAGTGTCGCCACGCGAGAAAGGTCGCATGACTATGTATCCGTTTGGCGCAACGCTATTGGTCGAAACACGTTGATTCAAGGTCTTTGTGCAGCTGTTCGACCAAGATGCGGTTTAAAAAGTGATCGTACTCGCAATATTATGTTGTTTCAACCGCGCTCAACTCTAATGCCATCTGGTGAATTTTATGCCCTCTATGTATTTCGCAGTGGCGTGAATCAAACTTGAGTGGATCTCACTCATAGACTATGAAAGAAAGGGGACTGATAATATCCTATCAAGGTCAATGCTGCGCGCGCGCGTTGACGCCTGGGGCGGCCATATTTTCGGAGCCAAAGTATGTTTAATTTTTCATTTTCGTCATTATGCGATCCTTAAGTCTCGAAATGTGAGATTAAAAACATTATTGGACAATGGTACATGTAGTGCACGGAAGTGATAGCCAAAAAACACACGAAAGTATATCGTTTCACAGGTATACATTATAGGTTAGTTTTCGGTGAAGTAACAAACAAATGTGGGCTTCACTTTACGATCATTATCACTCCTCACTCTTTCCTTCTCTAAGATCTCACCGTACTCTACTTTTAGGAATCACTAGGATTTTCAAGACGCGGTTCAATTTCGTGCCCATATGCACATTATGAGCAATGTTTAAACGCAAAGCACAAACTCAAAATTCTTTTATTTTTATAGTTAATACATGCACATAATGTGCTACAGCTAAAGTCCTATCTATACTGATGATGATATCAATTACATTCTAATGAGGACATGGGAAAACAAATTAAAACAGTGCACATTTAGTTTGAAGAATTGCTGCTGTACGAATGTTTAACGGACCTAGACTTTTTAGTCCTCTTAATTGACTGCAGCAACCTGAAGATAGCCTCGGGTGTAATCTTCATGTTTAACATTTGAATCAGTATGCTGCAACATTGCAGGTTTAGAACTTCTGGAATCAACATAGGGTTAGGAAACTCACCAGACGATTTGAGGGTTGATATTTAAACCGGATAACTCCGTCAAGTGGAATAAGTCGACTTGGTGCGGTTGTAATCTGTCCAAAAGCGTTTTTTCGAGCAAATATTCGCTTTTGTTTGACATTTTTCATTATCTGTCACTTGGCAACGGCTACGGTTGGCAACACTTTTCTCACCACATTAAAAATTCCTGACACTTTCGTCCTCTGAAAAATTTGTTTTAATTTGGGAACGTGCTCCAAAGGAAAATTACAAAAAAAATGGCAACGATAAACGATAATAACGATATTTACTCACAAAATTACGGCAACAACCCGGGCTTGCCAGGTGAGTCGACGCCTCATGTGATCAATTAACCTCAAAGACATTTGTAGGAAGCTATAAGCCGTTCACATCGCCGTACTTAAACTTTGATCCTGGTTACGTACCGGTTAACCAACCCGAATTCATCTTTCTCGATGGAAACAATAAACAAAGGGGACGTTTCGAATTGGCCTTCGGTCAGATAGGCGGCTCGTGCATGGCCGGTGCCGCAATCGGAGGTGCAACAGGATTTTATAACGGATTCAAAGCGACCACACTGGCCGGAGAGACTGGAAAGCTAAGGCAGACACAGTACGTCCATTCCAATCTACGACAGACTTGTATAATTCGACTTTTGCAGAATCTTAAATCACATCATGAAGAAGGGCAGCGCGACCGCGAACACTTTAGGATCAATTGCTGTGATATATTCCGCGTTCGGTGTTATTCTGTCGTGGGCGCGAGGTACGGACGACGATCTCAACACAATGGCCGCGGCGACGGCCACAGGGTGCTTGTACAAATCAAGCGGTATGTAGGGAGGATTGATTCGCGTTTTGTTAATCCTGGTTTTAGCGGGACTTCGAAAGTGTGGCATGGGCGCCGCTGTCGGTCTGGGCCTTTCGGCCGCCTTCGCCCTTTGGAATTCGAAAGATAAACTAGCACAATTAACGCAGTTCAATCCAGCGTAAGGAATTGCACCCTCTTTTAGTTCCTTTCTAATCTTAAACGTTAACGGGCCGCAAGATTGTTCGTCGTTACAATTTAGCTAATTTATTACGTGCTCTAGATGAACGATCGTTGTACTAACTTGGGAACGTGTGTCTGTGGATTGTACAAATATTTCGCCTTAGTCTCTAAGTCTGTTGAAGCGGTTGTATTGAAATTGTCCGTTAGAAAATATAGTGAATGTTCGAAATTTCTCTTAGTACAATGTTATTGACCCATTTCTTTGTTTAACAGGGAGAGATGATGAAACTTGGAGTACGCGTCGGTACAGTGTCGTTTCAACAGTGATCAATAGTTTGTAAATATGCGTTTGTAGTTTCAGATGTACCTAATAAATGATTTATCTTTCAGGGAATTATTTTTCCTCTTAATAGAATAATATACAGGGTGATTGATTCATGTACTCTATTCATAAGTGGAACCCAATCAGGTGCCACACCAAAGGCCCATTGCTCATTGAATAGGAGTTGGATATTCAATGCGTCTGCCTAACCCCTTTTGTTCGTAAACAAGTTGTTCCTATCAATAAAAGGCTTATCACCCTACCCATTCCAGAACTGTTATCAAGGAGCTGATGTTTATGGAGGTTTTACTGTGCACAGGTCATGATGCTTTTCCTTCTTTAAGATGATGCCTACTCCTACATCTCTTCCTGAAAATTGAAATACGGCGCTATGCTGAGCAAGTGCGATGATGATGTCAGCTCTCCGTCGACAACCATATACAGGGTGTCTTAAGTAGTATAACATGGCTATCTTTGTTATTATTTTAATTACAGATTTGGTTAAATTGGCAAAGTTGTGTAGTTTTTGATGCTAATGGATATTCCGATGCGATATATTTCGTAGATAATTGTGTAGTCTTAACTCCCAGGTTCTACACTAACTTCACGCTACAAGAACGCGGAAATAAAGTCAACCCGACAACGTTTAAAAATGGCCCCCGAATGACTATTTCTTCCAAAACTAAACAAAATCCCGTGGCGCGTGATCAAACTTCATAAGACAGAGCCCCCTTACGTTAGTTGTAGACAACGTAAAATAAACACTCAAATTGTGAAAAGTTTGTTTAATAATGACCGCAATTATTAAGATTGTGAAAGCTCGGTAATTTAAGTCAAAATAAATTACATTGCAAAATAAACTTTGAAAAATGGTAGTTCACCGAATAAAAATAGAAATAGGCTGGAAAAAAAGAACTTACCAATAAAAAAACCTGTCGTCAAATTAATATTAAATTGTGTAGTAAAATTAATTGTTTGTAATAACGTGAATGCGTAACATTGAATTATAACATCACAAATAGTAGCATGTATACTTCAAGAGGTAACAAATGGGCAGAGATAAGCAGGTACCAAGATTCTAAGAAAGGGTGAAATATACAGGACGTGAATCATCTTTGGTGCAATAAAATTTAACTAAAAACAAAATATGAGGAAATTACGAATCGTAAACTCATTTATCGCACATAGATTCTAAACCGAAGAGTTTTGATTAGCATAATCTCGCCCCCGCAAGATAAGTAGCGTCGCCCCTTGTTCGGGGTTTCGAGCCTACAGTTAAAAATCGAAGACAATCACGGAATTAGGTGTCGTAGCTCAATTTTGACTACAGTTTTTATCATCCCCGTGATTGCTTCATTCACGGAAAAAAATGTTAGTTACAAACAACAAGTCAGTACATACATCAAACGAATCGGTAATTTCCATATATTAAAATAAAATGATGAACTTACATGAATGTTACTTCAGGGACAGGACAAGACCTAATCAGCATCAATAAACATAAATTAAGCAAGTATTACACCAAAAACGTAAACAATACAAACAATAGCATAACGGTATCACATATGTGATTATGCATTGCGGTTAAACCAAGTAAATTTCAAAAACAAAAATTCAAACACAGAAAATATAAAATGTGGCATACAAATCACAAATACGATATAAAGAAATGCAAAGATTACTACCTGCATTAAAAAAACACAAACTAACAACAAACATTTATGGAGCGACGCGCCTTTCAAAACAAGATGCCAAAAAGCCAAACGTAACCCACGTTTGTGCTTTTCGATGGCGTAGGCAGCTTTTTCCTTAAGGCCGCTTGACATGGAGCAATACAACGCGCAAGAACTTGCAGAAAGAAATTGCAAGGTCAAATCCTTGCATGCAATAAGCATTGCATGGTATTTGACATGGTGCAATTCTATTTCAACTGCCACATGTCTGCCAACAGAAGAAACATATGGATTTGTCAACAAAGTAGTTAACCTCAAATGAAAATTAAATTTTGATTGCTTGAAGAAACGTGAAAATTACAAGAATAAATAAGATTAATAAAAACAAGTAATGAGTGCGTCTCTCAGCATCATAGTTGCCGCCGCTGTATTTTACTAGGTTGGTGACACAAAAACAACTAGATTTATCCCTAGAATTGCACGATTCATGCAAGAAAAATAACACCGGTCCTATAAAAATTGCACGCAAGTCTCTTGCAGCAATTGATCAGCTGGCTTTGAACTGCGCATGCCTTTCGCAATTTTTCTTGCAACTTGCATGCAATTGCAATTTTTATTGCTCCATGTCAAGCGGGCTTTAGATCATTGTTTATATGATCTAAGGCTTTTTCCCACCTAGAAATTGTATGGTTGCCAACTCTCAAAAATGTATGTATCGTCGTAAGTTGTATATACAGGGTGGAACCTCTCAATTGTAAAAAAATGAAATTGATAATTTTTAAAAAGTTCAAATATTTTAGCCACAAAGAGAGCTATCGAAAAAAGTTGCAAGAATCTATAGGATAAGTCAAGAGACGTAAAAAAAATGTTTTTCAAAATGGCGGTTTTCGAGGTATTAACATCAACTTCCTTATTTTAAATAGACGCCATATGGGATTTCTACGTCACTCGATAGAGAAAAAATTACAAAACCAAACCAGTGATACTAAACACTTAGTAGGTATTTCATTTGGGAATCAACCTTGCATTGAAGTTTACCTGCACTACTGACTACAATGTATTTCTTATGGCAATTTAACCGAATCTGTAAGTACAGTAATAACAATTATAAAGATAGCCTAGCCATGTTATCCTACTCAATTTAAGATACCCTGATATACTCATGCTCATTTCCATTTCCGTTAGGGGCTCTTCTGTAAACCACACGCGAACCCCTCAGGTTTGGGGAACGGGCGATCTGAGTTCAGTCTGTGCTCCCTGTCCACGAGATGTGACTTTATAACTATTTGGTAGTCAGACGACCCGGATCACATCCTTAATTGCAAGGAGGGGAGCGCACCTGAGACTTTTACAGAACATCTAACTACCATATACGATACAATACAATGCAGGCTTGAGTCGCAAGTCGCAACGGCACTGGCGGGTCCCGCCGCTCCGGTGGAGCTCTCTCTCTCTTACATTACCTGGCACAGCCGGAGCCCCTGAGGACTTAGTTGATAAATTCGCCAAACCCTTTGTTCGTGTGTCATTTTCATTTTTGGTAGTTGTAAATTGTTTTTTAATTTCCAAACAATGGCAGACTTGGGTTCGAAAAAGAGCGTTTTTCTACATAATGACAATTCAACTTTCCTTTTCTCTGAAACTTTCTTATGGAATGTGTGGTTTTGTTTGTATCAGGAAAAGAGGTTAATAACAGCGAAATCGTTGAAGGAGGTACCAAGAATCTAAAGAAAGAGTGAAATACACAGGATGTGACTCATCTTTGGTGCAATAAAGTCCTTTTGATAAAAGCAAGTTGGAAAATTATGGCCTTGTAGGCAAATTTAACTAAAAACAAGATATGTGGAAATTACGGAACGCCACTCATTTATCGCACATAGATTCTAACAGTTGAATGTCGAAGACAATCTTCAATCACGGAATTAGGTGTCGTAACTTAATTTTGACTACAGTTTTTACCACCACCGTGCCGTGACTGCTTCATTCACGGAGAAAAATGTTAATCACAAAGTACAGTCAGTACCTACATACATCAAACGAATGGGTAATTTCCACATATTAAAATAAAATGATCAAAACTTATATGAATGTTACTTCAGGGACAAGACCAAGTAATCAACATCAATAAACATAAATTAAGCAAGCATTACACCAAAAACGTAAACAATTACAAACAATAGCATAACGGTATCACATAGGTATGTGATTCTGCATTACAAAAACACCAAATAACAAACATTTATGGAGCCACGCGTTCAGCACCGCCTTTCAAGGCAAGATGATCAACGTAACCCCCATTCGTGGTTTTGATGGCGCAGGCAGCTTTTCCCCACCAAGAAATTGCATGGTTGCCAACTCTCAAAAATGTATGTATCGTCGTAAGTTGTACATACACGGTGGAACCTCTCAAGTGGCATCAGTAAGTACATTAGTAAAGGGTTACAATCTGCATTTAGGTTAGACACAGATATTAATTAAATTAAGCAAATACGTCACCTGATACAAAAGCCCCAACACCCCTAAAAACCACCCGGAAAACCCCCATTGCCTGCATTTCTAGGAAAACTGGTGTTGAAAATGGCAAACGCATGCCGCCTTCCGAGAAATTCTATCCATCTCATCTTGGCTTTCTTTCTTTTTAGCGCATTTCCACAAAAAAAAATGCGCTATTGTGGCCACTTTGTCCGTCCGTCCGTCCGTCCGTCCGTCCGTCCGTCCGCTAACTTTGCGACGCTACTAGTTTTTTATCTTAAGAGCCATTGTTCTACTTTTTTCGCTATTTGGTTCGTTATGGTGTCGAGTCTTGTACCAAGGAAGGAATTTTTTCTGTACCGCTTACAAAAAAAGTTATTGTAAAAAAAAACAAAAAACCGTTTTTTACATGTTCCATAATTTTACACTTTTGCCGTTTATTAACGATCCTAGAGATCGTTTATAATTTTCATTGCTATCTGTCGCCTGCCGGTTGGTCTCTCCGTCTGTTCCTTTGTCTGTCTGTCCATCTATCTGTCCGTGTGAACGATAACTTTGTTTAGAAATGTTCGATCGCTTTTACATCTCCGTTAGTTATGAACTGAATTGCATGAAATTCAATATGGGCATAGCTTTAGCCATATAATACGCAATGCCAAAAGTTGAATCGAATCGATTCAAAATTCACAGTGCCCTTTTCGCATCTCGACCATTTATAAACCGAATTGCAAACTTTTTTACTTATAAAAGTATTTGAATTAAATTTGATACATAGGCACTTGGAATAAAGGAAAATCAAACGCCAATTTCAAAATTTGGTTTTGCGCATGCGCAGTGCCAACTTTTTTATTTATGGACTTATAAAAGTATTTGAATGAAATTTGATACATAGGCACTTGGAATAAAGGAAAATCAAACGCCA